TTAGATGAATTACAGAGAAACATGATGGTACATGAAGGTAAAAGAATGGAGAAAAATAAAAGTTCAAGAGAAAAATCGACGAAATGATTTTTTTCGGTATTTAATTTTTTTGAAAGGTATGGACTTTAAGCCCATAATTAAACTCATCAAGCCCATAACTCAGCCCAAGCCCAATCCCATTGAAAATCCCACAAGACCCCATATTTCTTTTGACCTCACTCCTCTCTTCTTCCCTAAAAACAAAATTCCCACACCAAAACCCTAACCCTAGAAACTCCAGGAGCACCACAAATGGTGTGCATACGCAAGGCCGCAATCGACAACCTCCTGGCGATGCAAGCCTGCAACCTTTTCTGCCTCCCTGAGAGTTGCCAGATGAAGTACTACCTCTATCACATCCTCTCATGGCCGCAGCTCCTCTACGTCGCCGAAGACTACAACGGTCGCATCGTCGGCTACGTCCTGGCCAAGATGGAGGAGGAGAGTAACGAGTGCCACGGCCACATTACCTCCCTCGCCGTCCTCCGCACCTACCGCAAACTCGGCCTCGCCACCAAGCTCATGAACGCCGCCCAGAACGCCAGGGAACAGGTGTTTGCGGCGGAGTACGTGTCGCTTCATGTGAGGAAGAGCAATCGGGCAGCGTTCAATTTGTACACTGAGACTTTGGGATATAAGATTCATGATGTGAAGGCGAAGTAATATGCCGATGGGGAAGATGCGTATGATATGAGGAAGGAGCTCAAGGGGAAGAAAGTGCATGGACATAGTCATGGGCATGTGCATGGTCATGGGAATGGGCATGGGCATGGGCATGGGCCATGGGCATCACCACCATCATCACCATCATGAAGGTGGGTGTTGCTCAGGGGAGGCGGCGAAACCAGATAAGGCGGAGGCGAAAAAGGTCGAGAGAGGGAATGCCAAGGCGGGAGGCCAAAGCGGTATGAGAGAGTCAGAGGTAAATTGAGTTATTTGGGGAAAGTGCATTGTCTGTTGTTTTACTTTATCTATGGTTTTTGTGCTTAGTGTTTGTACTGCAATTTGGAATATGCATTTGAGGAATCGGAACTTCATAGTTTTTGTCTGAAGTTGTTGATGTTTAAATACTTACTCTGCTTTATGTTGTAATTTAAGTTTATTTTCTGTTCATTGGCCTGGCTCTTTTGTTCATAGTTTGGTTGAAGAATGCGAATCCCAATAATGATTATACATTGATTAGGAATTTATGTTTTTGATTTGAGTGTGTTCCGTTTGATGTGTACCTCATGCTCTTAACATGTAGTGCTAAATCTTTCTTCCTCACTAGTAATGAGTCCTATTAGTAGCAGACTTTGGGAATAAGTTTGGAATAGAGTAGGAAAAATGGCTGGATTAGTAGTTGTTTTACTTGGTTAAGTTAACAAACCCACACACCCACAATGCACTAAACCCGCATCTCGCCCTTTAGCCTTGCCCGTTTGAGGGTAACGGTACTATTCTGCCCATGCTGGATTAAGAATTACTCTTTTCAGTAGTGTGTATACATGCATGCATACAAGACTAGCGGTTTGGTATTGAAAGTGAAGCACATTAGCTTTTTCAAGTGTGGGATTGTATCTGAAGTTAATCCCGCTTTCTCTGGATTTTCAGAAATTGGGGAGGAATAAAGTGTTTTCTATTTTGGGCAATTGTTCTCTGTTACAAGTTTCTATCTTTCATCCTCCTAATCATTTTGTTTGGTTAATGCTTGGAGTTTTAAGTTGTTTTGAACATGAATTTCTCTTGAGAAATGTTTTGAATCAGGGCTGTCTGTATGTTCACTAGTTAATCACCCAAGCATGTTGGCATGATGGTGAATTTTTTTGGAAGTTGTGAGGTTGTTGAATGACTAAACAGGTCCAGTAAAGTATAGATTTAAGAATTGACCAAATATAGAATCCAGTATTGATAGGAAATCACTAAGAGCACCGAAGATTTTTTATATACGCAGTGAAGAAAACACTCTGATGTGTTGTAATGCAGTGGGCAAAGAGATTGAATAGAAAATAGGATGTTTTCCAACTGACATTCTGAAATGAGCACCCAATTAAAGTTCCTAGTCCGTTGCTTGCATCAGGTAGGGTGCCGATGAATTTTTCGTGGCCGTGACAGTAGTATCAAGTTCTATTTCTGGAAATAGAGAAGAGTGCAGAAAACTTATTATGTTCTACTTTATCTTTTGTCATCACAAAATTTGCAATCTAAAATAGGAGGTTTTTTCGAACTGGCCTTCCGAAATGAGCAGCAAATAAGAAGTTTCTATTCAATTTCTTGCACCGGTTAGGTTTCTGTAGGAGTTTTTTTAGCCATGGTGAAATGTCAAGTTCCGCCTTGGCACTGATGCAAACTTGGGTTAACTTCACAAGGCTTTCTATACTCCCACTCACACTCCAGTTCAACATGATTGACGTAAACATGTTGAAGTTGATCAACATTTTAATTTATTTGACTTCTGTAAAGTCTGAGCATCAACTGACAGATGTACTTATTTTTGTCCAATTGAATTTATCATAGCTCACTAGAAAAGAATGGGCATTGATTTGTACACCACTCAGCTGAGGTTACTTAGGGTCTATTTGGAATCTTAATTGCATCTGATTTTTTGTCCTTTTTTAAATAAATGATAAATGTGGCTAAATTAATTAATACGCATTAGTTTCAAAACAATAAATTGGATCCAAAAATAATACCAAACATTCCCTTATATATATGATTATGTTTGAGTGAAAGATTTCTAAGTCTCAAGAGACTGACGCCAAATTAGTAAGAGATGGATTGCAAAATGAGAGAGATTGGAGAGACTAGACCATTCCAAAAGCATGTAAGAGGGATTTGGATGCGGGGTGTAAGTATTCAGTTTTCCAACATATTGTTAGCAAAACTTAGTGTATAAGTAAATACATCTTAATTGCTTGGTAAGGAAAAAAATTGTGTTGCTTCTACGTGCTGTATATTGGCTGATGGGTTTCAGAGTATTTTTTGTATTGTTGACTGAATTTCGCCGAGTCTGATTGATTTTGTTTGCTACGATTGGTGAGGCTTATGTTACTGTTGATGGGTTTGGTTAACAGGGTTTTCATTCCTTTTCAGATTTGTTTTCAACACACACTTCTCGAAATTTGCAGGATGCTATGGTGATAGTTCCAATGATCTAATGAAATGAACTATTTAATGTCAGTAGTTTGAGGGCTCTGACCACAACACACAGCAGCAGCGATGGGGGAGGAAGAAGCGGCACCAGGTGATGTAGAACCTATTCGGTGATCAATCTGAAGAGGAAGAGGAAGAGGTCGATTCAGAGCACAAGTCCAATCCCCAGCCCAGTTCTGCATGATCCTCTAATTTCAAGTTTCCTTTCTATTCTGATTCCAAAAGCATGTTCGAGAATGATTAGGGTTTCAATTTTTTCTTTAATCTTAGCTGAAGGAAGATATGGGTTGTGCTTTTTGTTAATGGCGGTGGATGATTTGGATGATAGTATGTATCTTGGGGATTTTTTTTGCCTGCAGTTGTTTTGTGGAATGAGATTCTTATGAGTAGTCAATTTTAGTGGGATTGTTGTTTCAATTTGGATAATGAATGATGTCGTTTTCCTATTCGGTCTGACCTTTGATGTTGTAGCAGATCTGGAATTTTGTGAAGTGCTCTTTATTGAGAATGAAGTGCCACAAATTGACGAATAAAAAAAAATTGCACATCTTCTGATTAGAAATATAGAATTGGTTTTAAACTATTTTCTTGACTGTTTGGTTTTGATGTGCTTTACCGATAAATCGAGGGTTTGCAAGATATTTTTTGTTGTTTTCTCTGCGTTAACTCTGCTTTTACTTGGTTAAATGGTGGGTGTTATCATTTTCAATCTTCTTTCATATGTCTTGCCATTGACTGGGGATATGGATGGTCCTGCTACCCTGTACACCGCAGTACAGGGCTGTAACAAGATTATCTATTGTGCTACTGCACGCTCTACTATCAAGGAAGACCTCTGCAGGGTTGATCAAAAGAGGGGTCTACAATCTTACTATAGCATTTCAGGTGTGATCCTTATCGCCATATCCTTGAAATACTCCTTTTTGATATTTAGTAATCTGTTTCGGTTTTGATGTCTTTTAAGTTAATGGGTTGGTTCAATGTTGGATTTGAATTTTACCCTTCGAGAGTTGGATATCTATAAACTATCTAGAGCAAGGGAAAAGAAGACAAGGGACCTAAACCAAGTGAGGTGCATCAAGGATGAGGATGGAAAGGTTCTTACTACAGAGAACGCGGTTAAAGACAGATGGAGAGGTTATTTTCATAATCTTTTCAATGAAGGACATGAAATGAGTGCTTCTTTAGGGGAGTTGAGTAACTCAGAAGAGTGTATAAACTACTCTTTTTATCGTCGAATCCGGAAGGAAGAAGTGGTTGTAGCTTTGAAGAAGATGAAGCATAAAAAGCAATAGGCCCAGACGATATACCAATCGAAGTGTGGAAACTTTTGGGAGAGACAGGTATAACATGGCTCACTGACCTTTTCAATAAGATTTTGAAAACGAAGAAGATGCCAAATGAGTGGCGAACGAGCACTTTGGTGCCTATCTACAAGAATAAGGGCGACGTACAAAATTGCATGAACTATAGGGGTATTAAGCTAATGAGTCATACAATGAAGCTCTGGGAGAGAGTCATTGAGCATAGATTGAGGCAAGAGACACGGGTTTCGGACAATCAATTCGGGTTCATGCCAGGGCGCTCAAACATGGAGGCAATCTATCTCTTACGAAGATTGATGGAAAGATATAGAGATGGGAAAAAGGATTTACACATGGTCTTTATAGATTTGGAAAAAGCGTATGATAGGGTCCCAAGAGACATTCTTTGGAGGATTTTAGAGAAGAAAGGAGTACGAGTAGCATATATCTAAGCTATAAAGGATATGTATGAAGGAGCAAAGACTGCCGTAAGAACTCATGAAGGACAAACCGAAAGCTTTCCCATAACTGTAGGATTACATCAAGGCTCATCCTTAAGTCCTTACCTTTTTGCGTTGGTAATGGATGAGTTAACAGGATATATTCAAGATGATATTCCTTGGTGTATGCTTTTCGCAGACGATATAGTGTTGATAGATGAAACTCAGGAAGGGGTAAATGCAAAGCTTAACCTTTGGAGAGAAGTGTTGGAATCTAAAGGTCTTTGCCTAAGCCGATCAAAGACAGAATATATGGAGTGCAAGTTCAGTGCAAATAGAGGCCAAAACGAGTTAGGGGTGAGGATCGGAGATCAAGAAATACCAAAGAGCGACCGTTTTCGTTACCTAGGATCTATCTTGCAAAAGAACGGAGAATTAGATGGAGATCTCAACCATAGAATACAAGTTGGATGGATGAAGTGGAAGAGTGCATCCGGTGTGTTGTGTGACCGCCGTATGCCACTGAAGCTCATGGGAAAATTTTATAGGACGGCAATAAGGCCGGCGATGCTGTATGGCACAGAATGTTGGGCGGTGAAACATCAACACGTACACAAAATGGGTGTAGCGGAGATGAGGATGCTTCGTTGGATGTGTGGGCACACGAGAAAGGATAAGATTAGGAATGAGGATATCCGGGGTAAAGTAGGAGTAGCCGAAATTGAAGGAAAGATGAGAGAAAATCGGTTACGGTGGTTTGGACATGTGCAAAGAAGGCCTACTGACGCTCCGATTAGAAGATGTGACTATGGGACAGAGGTTCAGGGCCGAAGGGGTAGAGGAAGACCTAGGAAAACTTTGGAAG